CACACACACACACACACACACACACACACACACACACACACACACACACACACACACACACACACACACACACACACACACACACACACACACACACACAAATTATGTCAACCTGAGGGTGGCCGTCTTGTCCCATCAACCCCAATTGTCCCCCAACTGTCAGGGAATGTTCTTTTCCGTTCACCAAATCACAAAACCGTACCACTTTTAAAAACACTACAGCTGGTTTTTTTTTTCTTATTTTCTGTTTGTTTAGATTTGTTCAATCATGTGACCTACCATTATAGTTTCATCCTATTCTTGGTTTTTTTTGTTCCTCCGTCTCTAGCAACTTCCCTTCGAGCATCAATCCGTCTTCGAATTGATGTTTCTTCTGTTTTTGTTTTCTTCCTGTGTAGGTGTATGTGTGTGTTCTGTTTAGTATATTTGCTTGCATTTCCTTGTTGTGTTGCTTGTTTGTTTTCTCTTTTTCATTTATTTTTTTGTGTTTACCTATTTTCAGTAAAAGTCACTGCTCCACGGTTAGCATTGCTTAAAAATAAAGGAAATATGCGCATGTAATCTATATGTTTTATGCCATTCTCTTTATCTCTCTTCCTTCTGCTCACAGGGTTTAATTGGGTTTGTTTTGTTTCGTTACTGTTTAGTTGTTGAGCTCGCAATCCATGGTTAATTTAATTATGATTTTTTTTTGTCGTAACTTGATTCTATTTATGAGTTCAGAATAGCTATAGGTTTTTTCCTCTATAATTGGCTGACTTTTTTACTCCCCAGTTATATAACTTCTGTTTTCTGCTTTGAACTGTCAATATGTGTTGCTGTTGATATTTTCTTTCAAGTTTTGAATTTCAACTATTTTCTCGTTTGTGTCTGTGGACAGGACTGTTAAAAACAAACTCTTTTCGCTAATAGGATTTGCTGACTATCACTTTCTTTGTCTAATGATATTTTCCGTTTTTCTTTTTTTGCTTCCTTGATAACTACTGAATGAGAGTGGCGCTCTAAAAAAAACAAATGGCTACAACTATAGAAACGACTTTTTTTTCTCCTAATTTCATTCCTTCTTTTGGCATCACTGAATGCGTGGAAAAATGGCGCGAAGAACAACGCAAAGTTTCACTAGCTTTCCTTTTTTGTTTGTTATAATTGTAATTATTGTGTGTAAGTGTGTTGTGGATATTTGATTCAAGTCAAATAGCTTCATTTCATCAGCGAAGGAAACACTTTACTGGAATGGTAACGAGCGAGAAAGGCTGTGATAATTTTCAACTTGCTCCTTTGTATTTGTCCTGCGGTTTTGGTAATATATTTTTGTGTATGTGTTAATTTTGCTTGCACGAGCCAAAGTTAAGTACTTGCATACAGATTTTTTGTTTTGTTATTTTTCGAATAAAGTATTAGCATTCTTGTATTAATTTCGTTTTTGTTTTGCTTGACAGTTTTTTTTTTCTTTTCTATATACACATTTGCAACACCTTTTTTTCCCATTTGTCTTGGTTGTTCCTCCTGTAGTTCGAATTAAATATATTAATAAAACAATAATAATCTCTAAACAAAAAAGTAAACAACAATTATGGAGGGAATTCGACGTTCAACCGAAAGGAGAAATCAATCAGAATCAGAAGCTAGTGTCATTTCCTCTGGCTCTTGTTTCGAAATTGTTTATCCTCGTTGCCACCTAATCTCGGTAGTTGTTGGAATATTGTCGAATAGGAAAAAAATAGTTTATCGTAAAACAAGTTACCTTTCACTTTCATTTTTGTTTAAAACATTAAAATTCCTCTATAAAAACAGTGCACACTAACCAAAAAAAAATCACAAACATGCGCCTACACAACTGTACATACACACTTTAACACACCTTCAAATTCGCACACAGACACACTGAAAAAAAACGTCGATTTTTGTTTTCAATTTGAATTCAATTCACAAGAATACATATTACGAATTTGTTTACTTATTATGTAGTCGTTTTTTCCTTGCTTTTTTTCTCATTCTTTTTAACTTTAATGTAACATATTTACGGATATCTAAAAATGACTGTTCGAATAGTTTCCCTTTTATATACGTTTGCAAACAAACTTGTACAGTTTTACACAACTCACATCAGACAGGCGCGCTGGCACCCCTGCAATAGTAGTAGTAGTAGTAGTTGTAGTATCTGTACGTTTAAACACACGCTTTCTCTTCTGCTTTATACGATTTTTGTTTTCACGCGTTTCAAGTAATAAGAAAGGTAATAAATTACAAATATGAATATCATATCGTTAATTATTGTTTAGATTTTCTTCCTTTTGCTTGCTTGATTTCTTCCCTCCCTTACTAGTTTCCTTGCTTTGATGCCGATTTCCGATTGAAATGTTTCGTTTTTCCTCATGTAGTAGTACAACAGAATAAATAAAAATGTTAAAAGAAAGGTGAATAAGGTGACACTTACAACCGATGGTCGGTCATATATGGATAATGCGGGTGCGAAGTGATGCGATAAATAGGCTAACTTAACACTGTTTGTCTTCCTTGTAGGTTAGCATTCGCTAGCCGAAATACTTTTCAAACCTATTAGTCAACTCAGTTGCATGGACGTATTTGGAGCACAATGCAGTGTGCCTTACAAATGGTTTACCAGTTCGGGGACTTTCAGTTCCAAGACGTTCCAGTTGAAAGACTTTCAGTTAGCGAACATTCCCAAGTAACAATTAAGGTTTTATCACACTCTTGTAGACTATGATTTAGGTTCAATGTTACTTGCGATTGAGTGTAAATACTTTTAAAGGAAATGCTAACTTTCTGATATCGTTGTTAATGTAGAGAGATTTCAAGTTATCAAAAAATGTGTGGTAAAATTCAACTAGTTTTGGGACCTTTTTGTTTTGATGTGTAGTTTAAAGAGCACGCACATCAAGAATCAACTAAGGATTCACACAAATTTGAGGTCGCTTAGTAGAATTGCTTTTGTCGTTAAATTTTACTAGGAAATAAATAAATAAAGCGTACCCATTAGACTGATGTGAAATTTTCGCTCCACAGTGCTCAAACGGTTCCAAATTGGGTCCTGATTAGCCTCCCAAACTAATTTAGTAAGAAACTGGGAGCCTAATCAGGACTCGACTCGACACCTATTTCTCGCAAATAACAGCTCGATGATTTCGCAAACACTGTTAGAAGAATCATTCCCTTTCCTAATCCTGTTGTTCGTTTGCGAGATTGAGCTTTTATTCGTGAGAAATCGGTGATTGATGTCATTATTTGCAAAAAAAAAAAACAGCAAATCTCTAATCAGTCCGGATTTGTTTTCATTGAACATTCATCATCTCTTTCTCATGTCAGCCAACAGCGGTGAACGCTTAAAAAAATAACCTCAAGTTTACAGAAATTGCACTAGGTCGTAGTGCTTTGTAAGGATATGACGGGCTTGGTGGCCTAGTGGTGACCGTTTTTGTTTTTATTCTGAACACCGGCATAGATTGGCCGGGAACATAGTGGATGTCTTCCCACCAGCCTCGCTTAACCCGTAGAGGCGAATTCGAAGAACGTCCACGCTCGAGAAGCGTCAGTGTCGATGGTGCTTTAGTACACTCCATCTGCATTGCATGCCGATGCTCGGATCCGTGTGACCTTTTTGTGGTACCTTTCGAATATGTGCCAAGCTTTTCGTGATCCCTTTTGAATATTTTCATATCGGTATGATTGAAAGCTTCCCTAATAGATCATCACATCTCCAATGCAGTCGGATCCCTAACTAATAACATCCCAATATTTTAAAGTCTTTCATTCACAAGTCACCCGGAAGCCCAGTTTAGTCTAGATGGTTTAGTCAACGCACATAAACTGCGAAGTACACACTTAATCCTTACGTACGTGGAGGAGACGAATGCACCACGGATTGCACCAGCTGCTGGGAAAACCATCCATCGTCCACATTGCAAAAATTGGGCGACTGCGGTGGGCTGGGCAGGTCGTAAGAATGCCGCACGACAACCCAGTGAAAATGGTTCTCGAAAGCGACCCAACAGGAACAAGAAGAAGAGGCGCGCAGCGGGCAATTTTAATGATAGAAAGCTAAACTGGTCGATCGAATTGATTCCTTGCGGATAACGGTCATTTCAATTTATACCGACTTTTTCAGCAATTCAAAAACCTAGTACAAATATACTGACTCCTGTAAAATAATCTAAAGACTGTACTCGGAAAAAATGAGGCACATTGATTAGTATGTAAATTTGTAGCATGTGGGTAAACATTGATAAAATTTTGACTGAAACTAGTCAAGAGTGTAATGTTTATGCTGGCAGAATTTCAACACAATCTGTCAAGTGTTTATCGAGATGGCATCGGAGGGAGAGCAGATCCGCAACAAAATCTTGTGCGCCGTCGTGGAAAATCCGACTGTGTGTGTCCCACAGATGGATCGGGAAGCACCTGCATGGCGAATGAGAACGAACCAAATTTGAGTTTAGTTCACTCATAATCGCCAAAAGTTCAGGAATTCAGCCGCAAAATGAGGAAAATTGACAACAATTTTACTCAGTCTGGGAGTAGTACCAATAGACTAAGTGAATCCAATCTTTACTTTTCTCATATTCGCGAAGTTTTTCCTGGACAAACCTGAAAAAAACATGAGACAAATTCACTCATCGCTGAGTTTCTGCCCTTTATGTTAATTAGAAGTTAACTCAACTCAAATTTGGGTCGTTCTCATTCTCCGTGAGGGCATCCATCATTCGACAATTTCCCGGGTGATAAAGTCATTCATGAAGACCCAGATGACCCAGCGGCGGGCAGGCTGTGGCAGAAAACCGAAGACAGCTGAGCCGGTGAGTCTGTTCAAGCGTCGGCCGAATCTTTCGATCCGCGATGCGGCGAAGAAGGCGGATGTTTCCATCTGGTTTGTCCAAAAAACAATGAAGAGTGCCGGCATCCACGTCTACAAGGTACGGAAGGCATCGAAACGGAACGACAAACAAAACACGGAGGCGAACCGGAACGACAAACAAAACACCCGTGCCAAGAAGCTGTACCGGGAGTGGCTGACGAGAGCGAGGTGCGTCGAGGTGGACGACGAGACTTACATCAAGGCGGACACAAAGCAGTTGCCGGGCAGGAGTTTTACGTTGCCACATCACGGTTAGTCGTTCATGAGGAGGTAACTAAGAAGAAGGTACACAAATTCGCCAAAAAATTCTTGCTTTGGCGGGCCATCTGTGGGTGCGACAAGATGAGCCAGCCGTACATTACGACGGGTACCATCAACGGGCAAATCTACCGGGATGAGTGCCTCCAGAAGTGCCTCTTACCCTTCCTGCGGTCTCACGGAAGCTAGACGCTGGTTTGGCCGGATTTGGCATCCTACCACTACGCGCGGCCAGTGTTAGACTGGTACAGAGACAACAATGTTGTTTTGTACCAAAGGCCAGACTTCGTAAAACACCTAAGGTGCTAGAGAACGAGCTGGCTTTGAAGTGGGTAAAAGTATCAAAAGGAGTCGACCCCACCATTGCCCAAAAAGGTTATGAGTGGTGTCAAGAGCAAGTTGCGGGCATTCGGTTATTCAGTATTTTACGATCGCTTATGGCCGCCACAATCTGGCCGAGTTTCTGGGTAGGGAACATAAGATTTGAAGTTTGGCTTGTGTCGTTTGACGTGTAAACGATCAAATTTGAACGTTTACACATCAAACGACACAACCCAAACGTCAAATCATATGTTTCCTACCAAAAACTCAGCCAGATTGTGGCGGCCATAAGCGCTCGTAAAATGCTGGATAGAGCGGAGATCCAATAAAACAATGAAGCAATGAAACCTAACCATAATGTTATAGGTTATTCCCTGAAAGTTTGAAGATAATCCGACTTAAAATGAATTTTTGGTGACCATTTTTGTGTGTCTTACTTTGTTCGAGTACAGCCTTTAAGTGTGTTGGGAAATGTCCAACTTTTTCTAATCTTTCAACCGTCGACCATCAGATCGGGGGTGAACTGAACTTACTAACCACTATTCGCATAATAGTCCCATGTCTTGTGGATTTTTCCTGGGACTTTTATGCGAATAGCGACAGTGAAGCAACTCACTTCAATCGCGAATTTTCAACTGAATTCGGGCTTCAATTTACTTGAACTGCGTATTGAACGTCCAGAAAGTTGAACGATGTCCAACTTCTTCAACTCGCTTTCAAGTCACTTGAACGCTAGCCATCAGGATAGAAGGCGAATCGAATTATAACTCACTTGAACAGTGTATATCTCGCTTCAGCGGCCGTTGGAGACTTCATTCAAATTCTGTTGAGTCCCTCCGAATAAAAAAATACTCTTCAGGCATTCTATCAAGAACATAAATCATCTCGTCAAATCAGTTTCCTTTGTTTGTATTGCTCAGAAATAACTGCATCGAGTTCTCCCAAAAATCTCTACATTAACAACTGACAGTGAAAATTAAGGCGAAGCACAAAGATGTAGATGAGATGTCCATAGTGAAAAAAAATATGAAGTCATTATCCTCTTTTACACGTACGCTGCCTTCCATCGTGGGAACAAGCTCACCTAAAAAAAAAGCGGTTGTTGTAAATTCAAAACCCTGTTTAAAAAAAGCTAAAAACTGTTTCGTTAGTTGATGAACGTGTGGTTTAACATTTTCGAGCTGATTGTCCCAATTTTGTTACGTTTGTGCCTACACCCGTGTGCTTCTATTTATAGGTATGCAAAACCCTTGTCCACCCAGATTTTTGTGAAATAAATATTTGACTTTATCTTAAATAGTTAACAGACCAAGAACAAAGAAAAGAAAACATTCTAACCTCAAAACTTACACTGAAAGAAACGGTCTATTACAAAAAATGATACAGCCAAATGTATTCTGAACCGAACTGACTGAATGTTTCTCCTTTCGCTAAAAAAAAAAAAGAATTACAAATACCGTCCATCCACACTTCGAAAACGCAAAATGTCTATGCCACGATCGGAAAACCTTTCCTCCTTTCCGGAAACGCGCTTTGTAGAGCTAATAATTTAATGCTTACCACCTAACTTCCTCGCTATCCTCTATGTTCTGCCATCAGCTGCTTAGAAGATTCTTAGCTATGTACATGTGAACTTTTCTTTCCCAATAATTAAGGAATAACAGAAATATTGTTTCTTTAAATCATAAAACAAATAATAATAGCTGGACGTACCAAAAAAAAATTACGCAGTGCGGACGAACAAACGAAAGGAAAAAGCTTTCATCTCTGTACAATTCCCGCCTAACTCCTACAGCACAAACTCCCCGTATAATCTGCCGCCCTTGCGCTTCCGGCTACCGAAAGCAAAAAAGTATACCTACTAAAAATGGCATTTGTATGCGTCCTGTTCGTGCATCTTGCTTGTGTAGCGCGGGCAACAGTTTGTAGGGTTATCAGACTCTTGCTTTTGTTTAGGTTTGTGTGAATTACCGATTACCGAATACTTGTGGTGTTCCGCTATCTACGCCACGTAGGTGTTGGCCGTTTCCCGCTTGCAGATGGCTAGCCGTCGTTTCAGTTCGGCAAAGGTGGGCCGCTTCTCGGGGACCAGGTCCCACGCCTGGCGCATCATTTCGTAGATCTCCGGTGGGCAGCCTTCGGGGGCTTCCATCTTGTAGCCGCTGCCGACGTGCTTGACCACGTCCGCTAGGGGCTGTGTTAGAGGGGAATGCAGGTTTAGTATCGGAGGATAAACATTGAGCCGTTGAGAATGCAATACTTACGATTCTAGGGTAGGGTACTCGGCCGAACGAGTAGATCTCCCACAGTAGGATTCCAAAGCTCCACATGTCGGTTTTGTTGGAGAATTTCTGCGGAAATTGGAAGATCATGTTAGTCAGTGTTGAGCGGGAACGTTTTCCGTGACAAAAGTTATAGCACTGAAAATTGGCGCAGAGAGGATATGGCATACTACGATGGTCTTTTAAGACGAATGCCGGAAGTTTCTATTGTACTAAGCTATTCAGTAAGTGGTCCAGGGTGTCTACTTATATTCCTAAACAGGGTTCTTTTTTTTTAATTAATTAACTCATGGACCGGGGACCAACGGCTTTACTTTCCTTCCGAAGGAAAGCGTGATCAAAGATTTTATGCCTCAGAAAATCCCGGCACGCCCTTTGGGGTGAGAGGCAATCACGCTTACCACTAAACCTCCGGCGCCACTTCCTAAACAGGGTTGTTAATCGTTAACGTCAGAGGTAACTTCAATGGGAATAGAAAAGTCCAATGGACAAAACGTCGAATGACAAAATGTTAAATGGACCAAATATAGAAGCATTCAAAGAGGCACAAATGGACAAATGGTCGAATGATCCATTCAGCCTTTGGTCTATTTGAGCTTTTGTACCTTCGACTTTTTGTCCTTTCGACCTTTTGTCATTCAACGTTTTGTCTTCCGACCATTTCTCCCACAACCAAATCAATTAATACATTGCCACAAACGTGTTTTTTTAAGTTAAGTGCCATGAACAGTTTTGTAGGAACAACTTTATAATGAAAACCATTAATTTTTTTTTTATTTAAAAGCAATCACACCAACCAATCAGCGTCCCGATTCAGATCAATCAAGAAGTCATCCCGTACAGTTCAAGCGAGTCAGCCGTCAATGCTACTTGCATTATCTGCGAGGGATTCAAAGGAAATTCAAGTCGCACCCGAAGTCTCTCTGGAAGTACGTGAAGGAACAGCGCAGAGAGTCCGGTCTATTGAACGGCGAAGTCGCTTCCACTCCACAGGAAGTCTGCCGCTTGTTCTCCAACAAGTTTGCAAGTGTCTTCTCTGACGAGAGCTTAACCAACGAATACGCGACTCTAGCAGAAAGCAACGTTCCACTTTCCGGTCAAGCTCTGGGTGGAATTGTTGTCAACGCTGAAGTGATAACGACTGCCGCACTAAAACTAAAGCCTTCTATCAACCCTGGACCGGATGGTGTCCCGTCAGTCTTTCTGAAGAAGCATATCGCTAACTTACTGTCACCGCTACAACATCTGTTCCGATTGTCCATATCGTGTGGAATTTTTCCATCGAACTGGAAATGTTCCCTGTGTATAAAAAGGGTAGTAAACGGAACGTGGATAATTATCGTGGAATTACATCGTTGTGCGCAATTTCGAAGTTATTCGAGTTAATCATCATAGAGCCTCTGCTCTCCCATTGCAAGCAGTATCTAAGTGAAGATCAACATGGCTTCACCTCTGGTCGATCTACTACCACGAATCTACTGTGTCTGACATCGTACATCACGCAAAGTATGGTTGAAAGGTCACAAACAGACGTCATCTACACTGACTTGTCTGCTGCCTTCGATAAGATAAATCACGACATCGCGATCGCCAAATTGGATAGACTTGGGATTAGCGGAAATCTCTTGAGATGGTTTCGCTCATATCTCGCCGATCGTCAGTTGGTGGTAGCCCATGGTGACTGCCAGTCCGACATTTTCGCAGCTACGTCAGGAATACCTCAAGGAAGTCATCTGGGACCGTTGATTTTCTTACTCTACTTCAATGACGTGAATTTAGTTATCGAAGGTCCACGACTATCGTATGCAGACGATCTCAAAATCTACTTACGGATCTGCTCGATCGATGATTGTCAATTCCTCCAACGTCAGTTTGAAGCGTTTGCCAGCTGGTGCCATTTGAACCGAATGACAGTAAATCCTGCGAAGTGTTCAGTCATCACTTTTACCCGAAAGAAAGAACCAGTTATTTTTCACTATGCTCTCCGGGACACCATTATTGAACGTGTGAGCCATGTAAAAAATCTAGGTGTCATCCTGGACTCTCAACTTACATATAAGCAACACATCTCGTACGTCGTCGACAAGTCGTCAAGGACATTGGGCTTTACCTTCAGAACAGCTAAGAATTTCTCCGACATTCATTGCCTCAAGTCACTGTATTGTTCCCTGGTACGTTCCATTCTAGAATATTGTTCTGGGGTTTGGAGTCCGAACTACAGCAATGGTACTGAGAGAGTCGAGTCCGTTCAACGCCGTTTTCTGCGATACGCGTTGAGAATGTTACCTTGGAGAGACCCGTTTCATTTGCCCAGCTATGAAAGTTGCCAGCTGATCGACTTGGAGCCTCTTCGCACCAGAAGAGATACTTCAAAAGCCCTGCTTGTCGCGGACACGTTACATGGCAGAATTGATTGTATGGCAATCTTGGAGCAAGTAAACATTAACGCCCAACCCCGAATGCTTCGTAACAATGTTATGCTGAGAATGCCACTACGTAGGACAAACTATGCAATCAACGGTGCAATAGGCGGACTGCAGCGAGTATTTAACCGAGTTTCATCAGTATTCGATTTTCACCTGCCACGACTAACACTTCGGAGACGTTTCTCTTCATTCTTCTCCAGACATGGAAACAGTCAATGATCATGTTTTAATGTTTTGTAGTTTTAACTTATGACTTTAATTTTAATTTTAAGTTAAACCATCATTGGGACCATATCGAGTCTGTTGATGCTGACAAATAAATAAATAAATAAGTACCAGAGGGCAGTGCGCATCCTAGGCATCTACTTTGATAGGAAATTATCCTTCTCAAAAAACTTTGACGAGACAAAAGCTAGCTTCAAGACCAGGATTAACATTCTACGAACCCTGCAAGGCCAGCACCCAGACAGCAATCGATCTACCATGGCCAAGGTGGTCAAGGCCATTATAAATTCAAAGCTGACGTATAGAAATCACATGTCTAGCCCAGGGCGAACTAAATAAAAAGCTAGCCATACAATTAGGCTATCAGGATATCGATCTGGACGCGAAGACTACAGGCCTCTTGATGGAGGTCAACCAACTCCGGATAAAGTGGACCAACCAAGAGTTCCCTACAGTGAGCATGGTTCACTGGGTCGGAGCAAGTGGTTGGAACCTATCAAAACCCCGGACCGATTACTCCATCACCTTGGGACCTTGGCTGCCAAAAAAGGTAACGCAGCTACAAAACGAAAAATATAAACATCATACCATCCGCTACACCCGGATGGGTGTTGGCATCGGGGTAACAGGACCGCAGATAGCAGTTTGCTACATGCTTCCAATCCAATACTGAAGCTGCTGCCGCCTTTAATGCTGCAACAATCCTCTCCGACACCCCGATCGCCGTGTTTATCGACTCGGCTAGTGTAGTGGAAGTCATGGACTCACCGGTCACCGAACACCGGTGGATCCAAGGCATCCTCGCCCAACACTACCTTTGTTTAGATCCCGGTTCATTGTGGGGTATGTTGCAATGTCGAGGCTTACAGACCTGAAACAGTGGGGCAAAGCTTTCAGCGACTCGTGGGCCTCCGTCTGGAACGACGCTAGAGAGCCTTTCATCCGGAAGGTTAAAGGAGATATCGTCGGATGGGAGGAACCATCGAATACGTGAGTAAGTGAAATTCTCAAGATTGAGAACAGGACACACCCGCATATCGCACAATTTCTTTGACACCGGACCTTTTCCAAAGACATGCGAGGTATGACGATGTACTTCGTCGAACATGCCATCGGCCACTACCCTCAATACGAGGGCCCCCGCATGCTATACGACAATGCCGGAAGCATCAGGAATGCCTTGGCGTACTACCCGGTCAGAACTGCGGCCCTCGATGGTTTCTCCGAAAAGCCGGCCTCTTCGATGCAAGGTAAACGACCCGGCAATATCGACGAATACCAAACGACTATAAGACAGCATAGACAACAAAGAGAGCTTACGGCACTCCCTTCTGGACTCCCCAAAAGTCCTTGACCTACTGAACAAATTCGTCAAAGACTGAAACCTTCTTTATGGCAAGAATACTAAGATATAGCCAATTCAGGGAATTAACTTGCACACTAGCGCCACGTAATAAGAAAATTCTTAATTTCTGCCCACTACCCAAAAGTCTTTGACCTGTTGAACACATTTGCTGAAGACATGAACCTACTATACGATCAGGATCCCTAGATATAGCACAATTCTCGATCTGGCTTTCATCAATGAGGATAAGTGTGTTGAGGTACTGGAACCACCGTTGCCATTGCTGAAAATTGATCATCATCACAAGCCCTCGTGTTAAAATTTGAAACCACCAGAAAGTGCGATAGCATGAATGCATCGGACCCCTTCAACTTTGATTTCAACCAATGTGATTTCGCATCGCTTAACGCATTAATTTCGGCCGTTCATTGGGATGGGTGCCTTAATGGGTGCAACATCAACGAAGCTGTTTCCAACTTTTATCAACGAGTGTTCTCAATTGTTCGGGATGTAGTACCGATGAAGCAAAGACGCCACTTTTTCGGGAGAAGACAGCCTTGGTGGAACAACGAGCTGCATCATCTACGTAATCGTCTTCGCAAGGCCAGGAAACGTTATTTTCGTTCGAGGGACGAACAGCACAAAGCTGAGCTCCGTATATTGGAGAGCGATTATAATTCTTTGCTTGCGCGATGCTTCAGCAGCTACATTCATCGCACGGAAGAAAACATCAAAAACGATCCTAAGTCGGTCTCATGAACCAAGTCGAAAGCAGAGGGATGCAATTCCTCAGCATGTTTTTTATAACGGGTTTACGGCCGCAACCCCGCTTGATTCGGCAAATTTGTTCTCGTCATTCTTTCGGGGTGTGCTAAGTAATAACCGATCACCTCCGTCTGAAGTGTACTTGGACAGTTTGCCTCGGTATGATTTGAACGTAGCGCTTCTCGACTTTTCTCCGGAAAATGTGCTGAGCAAACTCCAAGGGATAGACGAATCCAAAGGCGCCGGACCAGATCGTCTTTCACCACTGTTTATCAAGTACTGCGCCGTTTCGCTTTCCGTTCCCGCCACAATTCTTTTTAATCGTTCCATGGCGGAAGGCGTTTTTCCGAGTGCTTGGAAAACTGCTGTCATTACTCCCATACATAAAGCTGGTAGTATCCACAACGTAGAGAACTACCGTGGCATATCAAATTTGAGCTGCTTGCCAAAGATTTTTGAAAGCCTCGTCTTCGATTCGTTTTATCCACACGTTCATCATATTATTTCCGAATTCCAGCATGGATTCGTGAAAAAACGCTCCTGATGGCATATGTTTCCTCGTTGGTCAACACACTGGAAATGAGACAACAAATCGATGCCATCTATATCGACTTCTCTAAAGCGTTCGATAGAGTGCCGCATTCTGGTTGACTCGCTGGATATTTTCCTACCTAACTGAGCGCAGTGCCTACGTTCGCCTTGATGGAACGAGCTCTGACCCATTCGATTTCACATCTGGTGTGCCTCAAGGGAGCCATTTGGGCCCACTTCTTTTTGTGCTATTCGTCAACGATCTTTGCGAAATGATTAAATCTCCGAAGGCAATGTTTGCCGATGATTTGAAGTCCTTTCGGGTAGTTTCATCGTTAGTTGATTGCTGTGCCATACAAGCTGCCATCGACGCGTTACTACACTGGTGCAGGCTAAACGGAATGGATGTAAATACCCGAAAATGTAATGTAATTTCTTTCTATCGAACAAGGATGGGGACCATTTTTGATTATAGAATGTTGACAACTAGTATCGACAGAGTAAGCACTGTTAAAGATCTGGGTGTGCTACTTGACAGTAAGCTGAGGTATACCCAACACATAGCTGCAACGACCGCCAAGGCGTACGCAGTGCTTGGATTCATCAAACAAAACACGCAGCAGTTTGAAGACATTCATTGCTTGAAAAGTCTCTACTGCGCGCTGGTACGCAGCATACTTGAATATGGAGTGCTGGTGTGGGCGCTATACCATGTCGTTCAGATTAACCGGATCGAGCGTATTCAAAGGAACTTTCTTCGATTTACTTCCGTGGCATGATCCGGTTCGATTACCACCCTACGAGCATCGCTGCGCCTTGATACATCTACCGACCTTGGCTAGTAGGAGGATCCTGTTGCAGCGGCTTTTTATATTCGACATCCTGAAGAGCAACGTAGACTGCTCAGTACTGCTGAGCAATATAAATGTAAACATTCCGACCAGAACGATCCGGCGTGCAGATTTTCTCCGCCTTCCTGTGCACCGCACTCTTTATGGACAGAACCATCCGTTTGATGTTTGTTGTCGTCGTTTTAATGAAGTATTTGTCCTTTTTGATTTTAATATATCTAAGACAATGTTTAGAAATAGGATTAGTGAATAGCAATATCTGTCTGTACGATCAGTTCGAAGACTAGTAAAATAAAATAAAATAAATAAATTCATTAAAATTGCACACTAGCGCCACAGAAACCTTCTATATGGTCAAGATCCCAACAAGACTTAGCATATTCAGGAAACGCATTTGCATTCTGAACTTCTGTCCACCAACTAAAAGTCCTTGACCTATTTCAGAACCGCTGACCTAGCTTATTGATTTCCTCCGGAGTTCACTTTTGAGGTCTACATTCACTTGGTGCTTTTCTATATAGGCTATATTTCTGTCACGAAGATAATATCTACAATCAACATTTGAAATAGGCAGAGCAACCAAACGTAAACAATGGCTTTAACTCAAAATTTCCCGAGAACCAAAACACATTCAGGCAATCTAACACCAGCAAACTTCCTCTATCGAATGGCATTACTAGTTTGCGTGGGTGTGTTTTGATTCTCGAGAAATTTGCGTTTAAAGCCATTGCTTACGTTTGGTTGTCTCGCCTATTTCAATTGTTGGTCCAGATATGATCTGAAACCATGGAATGCACTTACCCCCTCTTTCAGCGCCTCCGGAGCGGTCCATTTGATGGGCAGCTTGCTGATGTCGGCCGTATACCGCTCGTCTCGTGCCAGTCCAAAGTCGGACACCTTCGCGACACACTCCTCCGAAATCAGCACATTCCGGGCGGCCAAATCCCGATGTATGACCTTCTTCATTTCCAGATACTCCATTCCCGAACAGGTGTCGCTGTCGAAAGAGGGAAAAAAAGGCACCATATTAGGATCTTTCAATTTCACACAAACCGTGTTTCGCCTGTTACTCACAAGGCAAAATTGATCTGATCTCTTCGGGTAATGTGCTGTCTACCCCGGGACCGGAGGTAGTCTACCAGGGAACCTTTGCTCATGAACTCCGTCACCAGGTAGATGTACTTATCGTGGAACACCAGCCCGATGAATTTGACGAGATTTTCATGTTCGAGAGTTCTGTAACGTCGGAAAAGAAATCAGAAAACCGTTCGAATCAAGCACTTTGCCAACTCACGTCATCACGCCCGCCTCGGCAAGGAACTTATTGGACGCCCGACCGGCATCCTTCAACACCTTCACGGCCACCTTCTCGCCCTTGAGGATGCCGAGCATCACATCGCCAAATTCACCCTTGCCGATGTTCTCCTTCAGCTGCAGGTCCTCCATCTTGATCTCCCAGCCGTTGTCCTGGAAATCCTTGACGCAAAACTCCTCCTTCGGTTGGGCCTTCATCAGCTTCGTGCACAGTCCGTCCGAGTCCAGGGTGTAGTGCTGAATGAAGTGCAAAAAAACGAGCCGTTAATCGAAAACAATCGTATCAAATTGCATTGGGCCGTTTCAGTTTAATAGCATTAAATTGATAATGATGCCCGTCGTTCCTGGGAATCCGCTTACACACTCACCTCCACCAGTTGGCCGAGATTGTCAAAGTACTCGTCGTCATCGATCGTTAGCTTGTTCTCGGCGTACTTAATCCGGTAGTGTTCGACCTTCTCGTTGAAGCAGACACACAGCGTGTAGTCGCCGGGGAAGTTGGTCGATTCGCGCACCAGGAACAGACCGTCCTCGTGAGGCTTCAGCAGGTTTTCCGCCTCCTCGCGTTTTATCCGACCGTGGAACCATCTGTTGAGTGGAAGAAAAGGAAAGTAGTCGGTTTTAGATTTCCACCAACTCCATGGCAATCGACATTATGTGACATTCTTAAGGGGTAACCGAGGAACTGCGTCGGCATCTTTACACGTGTACTATTATTGTGATTGCGATTCATGGCCAATTGCTCGTTTAATTAATGGAAAAGAGCGTTTCACACACCAATGGCAATGCTTATCAGCAGCGCAATAGCTATCGATGAATTTGGCTTTTCCGCGAACGTGTTCCATAGGGTGATATGGGGCAAAGGGGCCATTCAGGGAGGAGAGGAGGGCGTTTTGGTAAATATTTCCAAGTCTTACAATGTGGTTTGAAAATATCAACTTACGTAATTATAACATGACCACAAAGTATATCAACACGCTTGTTGGAGAAATGCTTTCCATTTTCATTTTTTATTTGAAGCTAATGAGCGTTCCGGTATTGATAATTGACGTACCACGACAACGATATCCAATACGGTTCCTCCGGTATCCCCCCCGCTCCGAATTGATAGCTTCAATAATACATCAAAAGGAGAATACTCACGGCATCGCGTTCAGTTTGGCATTGACCTCAGCCCTCCGTTGGGCAGCTGCGGCCGTGGGCGAGAGGGACGCCGTGGCAACTCCGGCACCGGCCCAACTTACTCCGTTGCTATCGAATGCTCCTCCCCCGGTGACGACCGACGGCGGTGGAGGCAACCCAATTTGGCTGTGCATCGAATTGGACATCCCATGCGGGGGTGGTGGCACCTGCGGCGGCTGCTGCTGTTGTTGTTGTTGTTGTTGTTGACTGGGATGGGGTGGGATAGCGACTGCCGCCACCACTGATGAAGCTACCGATTGCTGCTGCTGCTGACTGGTAAGAATGTGGTTCTGTAGCTGGGCACTGTTCATCGAGGTGGACATGAGATTCGACTGATGGCTGCCCAGAGCACCGTGCTGGGCCGTTGGCTGGTGATGCTGTGCTGCCTGCTGGAGACCGGACGGCCCGAGCATACTGTGCTGGTTGGGAGATTTTGGTATGTGGTGCACCGGAGGGACCATTCCTCCGGAGTGCATTGGTGGAGGTTGCTGGTGATGTTGCTGCTGCTGTTGTTGTTGCTGAGCCGGCGGCAGGTGGATGGAATTAAGATTTTGATTACTCTGAAATGAAAGAAAGCTATGGTGTCAGTTGAACGACTGGGAAATTTAGGAAACTTACAGTAACACTGTGTGGAGGTAATTGCGGTGGTGCCATCTGCTGGTGCTGCTGTGGCGAATGCTGCGGCGGTTGTTGGCTTTGCTGCTGCGGTGCCGGTGGTGGATTAATGAACTGTGGTGGCTGCATCCCCACGTGTCCCATGCCACCACCGCCGGGGACACCTCCACCCGGTTGGGGCGCAGGCCGTTTGTGCTGCCGCGCCGGTGCCGTCGGTGGCATCTGATGCGGCATGAACCATGGACAATCGCCCGAGGCGGCCGAGTTGGCTGCGGCTACGACGGTTGACGAGAAACCCCGATGATGACCAACGACTGCTGTTTGACCCGACGATTGCAAATTGATGGCCGCCGTATGACTGTTCATTCCGCCGTTCAGCGCACTGCTTCCGGTGGAATTCCGACGCGACAGTGTGTTTTGATACTGCTGCTGCTGGTAGAGGGCTTGCTGTTGCTGCTGCTGCTGCTGCTGCTGATGGCTTCCGATGCCTCTGCGGTCCAAACGCGACTCGCTCCTCACATCGACATCTGCAAACAACAAAGAATACACACAACAAATTAGCTCATACACGTCTATTTCATCAGAATCATCATCAGCAGTTTACTAAATTGAATTATGCTGGATTGAGCACGGACAAAAGTATCAGCAAGCGATGAATCACCGCAAGCATTTCCCACATGGACATCATCGCTTGAAACCGATACGAGTCGTATTATGATTGAGATCATCGTCGTTGTTCCACTTCATTGGAATTCCATTGAGCGCCGGACCCGTAACCAGTCCCCGCCAGTTTAAATTAGCTTAATCAAATTTGTTCAAAGCACGGTATGTACAACAACAGCAACGAATCGATTGATGATTGCCAATAGAGACTTTGGCGGCGGCGGCGAACTCATCACCCAGTGATGTAGTGTGGAGCGACTCGCTTCAATGAAAATGCTTGAGATCTCATTTTACTACAACTCTGTGCCTACCCCAACAGTGTACATACCAAATCGTACACACCCACGGCCCACCCACGATGAATCGATACACCGGAATTGGTTTAACGATATGTACGCTGGAAGCTGCGGCTGGACGGTAGTCTGAGCTTTAAACAACACACCGAATGACTTGGGGAGGAGGTCATGAATGCATACATGAATGAGTTCGGTTGAAAGTGGAGAACCGGGTCAACAAGCGGAATACAGAAGAGACGCCTGACTGAAGAGAGACAGCATCCATCCATCCATCCATTGTTGGAAAATGATGTTTGATCTCAATTCTACTGATGAACTGACTCGCCAATAGAAGTCATTTGAATCGTTGTCATGCATTTGATTAGCGAAACGCTGATTGGCCATCGCAACGAGTCTGCGATGAGATGATTGACACAAATCAGCTAAAATTACGCTCGAAAATATGATTCGATGACATGAAACAAGTTGTGCGAATTACTTCTCCTTTGCTTCGTAGAAAGTAGGTATCGTATAAATAATGCCTACATGATTATCACATCATCATCTTCATCATCGCCATTACCTTCGTTGTTAATATTTTTCAGGTGATGCTTGTAAGTAATGCTAATTGGAACCGTTTATTGGTTGGTTTTTTTAAAGCCGTCTCTTAGCGACGCCGATGGTATAGTGGTAAACGTGACTGCCGTTCACTCCAAAGGGCCTGGGTTCAATCACAGTCGGCGCCCTCGAGATTTTCTGAGGCATAAAATCTCGCACACCACTAACAGGTAGAGGACATTTTCCCCTACCTGCTAGTGGTGTTAGTAAGCGTGTGCGAGCTACCAGTTACGCCAAATCGTTTGCACTGTTTACAAAGGCTGATACGTCCCTTCGAAAAAGTAATCGAGATATATAAATAAGTTACCTGAACAGGAGAAACGCAGTATTAAAAGTTCTTAAAATTTTCCTGGAGTTTATATTTTGAAGTTCTATAAGCCAAATAACATTTTCTGGGATGCAAACATGTGTTACCAAAATATTTATATTCCTCCAAAAATTCCTCCAAAAATTCACAACATCATTTAAAATTACCAATTTTGTTAATAAAAAAACATTGTTGAATTATCCAAATCATAATACACCTTGGCGTAAAGCCCCATTATATCATTAGTTTTGATAATTAAGTTTTCCAAAATGCCTGCAGTTCAGATCATTTTTATTATTATTATTATTATTATTAAAGTCACTTTAATACTCTTGCTTAGTTGTTTCTACCGAGCTCGACTGTGCAAATCTCGGCAAAAATAAGTTTCACTGAGATCTCAGCAAAAGTGACATATGATTGCTGAGTCTCGGATAATACCGAGGGGGACGACTCTATCTACGATGCAGGAAAGATTGTGTTTTGCTGTCGCTAGCTGCGTGCACGCTGAGTAAATAGAAACAAGATTGACGATGATTCTGAAGATTTCCTGCAAAAAGATGATGCGCGATGCAAGTAGATGCGAGAAATGAAAGAAGATTTTTCGAAGATTGATTCGCTAGTTGGAGATTTGTTAAGCATCTAAACTTGAGATTTAGACGTGTCGCCCCTCTCGGATAATACTTAGTTGAATGTCAGCAAACAAATGAAATATTTCCTGAGATCTCAGTAAATTTTTTTTGCCGAGATTTGCACAGCCGAGCTCGGTAGAAAAAACTAAGTGTGTGGATCATTCGTGACTTATGCCGGTTAGATTTGAACTCAGGTTAATGATGATTTCCCCTAGGTTTGAGCTGGATGATTTATCTCTAAGATAATTTAGTACTTCGACTTTGGCGTGAAAGGTATGGATTCAGATCTTTACACACTTAATCTAGCTCGGTAAAATCTCCAACAGCCGATTACCAAGGCATTTACTTTTGCTGATATCTCTGCAAAATATCTTTTTGTTAGCTGATATCTCAGCAAAATGTTATTTGTTAGCTAAGTCTCGGTAATTGTTTTACTGAATCTCAGCAAAATAAATTGCAGAATTACTCGGCTGTTGGGATCTCGGTGAAAAAATTTAAGTGTGTATGTTTTACAGACTAACCAAGGTATTCTACGATTTCCTGACTATTAATCTTGTGTACCTGGTTAGCACAATGCAGACATTATTTTTAATTTATCTCTGGACCTATTATTTCATGAGTTTATAATTTCGTTGAATGTGTCCGGTGTCGAACATGCATGCCAAGCATGATCGGGTATGCAAGGAGTTTTAGATCGGGCATTCTTTTATTGTCTTGAATCTGCTTCTCTATCTTCAAGTAGCTTCGTAACCAGATTTGTCTGGCTCAGGCTTTGGAACTACAGAAAACTGTAGCAAAAGAATTCAAGCATTTTTCTTCCAATGACACCAAAATAAATTATAAAAATTTACATCGCAGCCTATCGTGGTAGGAACAACGGCAAAATCATCGTTTACCCCGTGCGCTAACAGATTGTGAAAAAATAGAGTTTTTGTAATTTTGAGGATTTTGGATACTTTACCACAATGAAAGACATAATATTAAAGTTGTAAACAGATGTATAAACATAATAATATAATTATGTACATTATATAAAATTGATTGATTCCTTACAAGTTTTATAAAGTAAATGATTCTTCAAGACCATATTATGGCCTACAAGACTATGATATTTAAAAACAAAATTGCTACTTAGGATGAATATATATGATTTTTGCGGTGCGATTTCGGTTTTCCCAGATTTTCCCTGGCGAATCCGAGTTCCCGGTTTTCCCGGTTGGATGAACACCCTGTAACCTATTCCTCTCCTTGTTGATCTGCATGCTATTGGGCTGCTTGCGTTTTCTTACTGAAGTTCATGACTAAATAGGAAGATTTATTCTACAACTTTAAATGTGCCTTCCTAAGCGGACCCTCCGCATCCTAATTCTTACTCATTAGTCTAGTTTAATAAATAATTGAAATCTCTAATTCACCTAATCAATCATAATCCATGCTTTATTAAGTACCTGGACTTGTGCTTGTAATCTAAAATTAAACGTATTTCAAGTACTTTTGACTCAGTGATGTGCTTGAACGCGTGCATACTTTGTTCAGAATCCGAAAGAAGACAGTTGCACACCCTCCGTTCGTTTCTCATGTTACGAACGTAACCGAACTATGCGTTGAACGAGTGAAAACGAACTGAGCGAATGGGCGAAGCGATCGCTTCGTGTATACGTAGAAAACGCTTCGTGTAGGTTTTTTCGTAGCCAAAACTGCAACTTTTCGAACGGGGTGGATGTTAGATATTTTCGCAATCATTCTCATCTCCAGAGTCGACTCTAATGCTGTGATCATTTGTTGTGTCCTCATTCATTTCTAATATTCGCCCTTATTCTCGTTTTCGTTCGAATCGTATTTTTGAAACAAAACATTTTTTTTATATGGGAAATACGGTTCGATCGAAAATGAGAATAAAGGCGATTGCCTGTACCGTCTTCATGAGAGAAACTGCCTTCACGTAATTCACCCCGGTATCTGTTGGTGACAATGTACAGTTTCTCGATTTCCAGACCAAAATTTTTCTTAACATAATTCATAATTCATAGCTTAGGAGACAATGTTGACAGTATGTGTTTTGTGAATTTATCTTATACGCGCTTAAGCACTCTCTAGACTACGAGACACGGAGAGCAGATTCTGTTTTAGAACAGTTTTAGATATACTTATTCCTTCAACATCCTTATACATGTCATATTCACATCATGCTAATATTGTTTTAGTTTTTAAACAGTTCTTTAAGTTTAAAATTTGTCTGCTCAGTACATCAACGCCGTTCGAAAAGTTGTACGTAAGTTTTGACAACGGAAAAACCTACACGAAGCGTTTTCTACGTAGACACGAAGCGTTCGTTTCACCCATTCGCACGGTTCTTTTGCACTCGTTCAACGCATAGTTCGGTTACGTTCGCAACACGAGAACCGAACGGAGGGTGTGCAACTATCATCTTTCGGTTCGGTTTATATGTGCTGAACGAATAGACAGTGCATCACAACCGAACGCAGGGTGCTCGTTCGTTACTCGCTTTCGTTTCAGGAGAAATCGCCACAAAAATACTTAGGGTTTTTGATCTAATTTTCGTCGTACGAAGCACAACCCACGCTTCATCTCTATTTTCTGAAAGCGTTTAAACAAAAAGGGGAATAATTCTGTCAAATATAACTTCTAAATTTATTCACCTTTCCATACGTACGATTGGATTTGATACAGTGCCGCAAATTGTTGAGATATTGTTTAAAATCTATTGCTGCTTCTTGATTCTAAATTCGTCCTACGAGTTTCAATTCCGTCCAAACGCATTGAAACGCCATTAGATTTTCTTCGTCCTACGGATAAACGTAGAAAAAGGAGATTCGCTAGGAGCGCTTCTTTTGTTTTGAGAACAATGAGCGTAAATATGGTGTTTAACATTGTTCCCTGAGTAATACTTTAATGAAAACATCAATGAAAGCTTGTCACACAAATAGAAGGATAGTTGGGCACTTTCTGAAATATTTCAATAGTATTATTCCCTTGCAAACCCAAATAAATCTATCTGCGTAAAAATAAATAAA